CAATAAAATAATATTTTCCATCACATCAATAATCTTTTCTTTTTTTTCAACCACACATTTCCCATCATATCACTATTCAAAATCAATTCTTTCCCCAAAAATCTCTCCCAAACAGACTCTTAATCTAGTAAATTTCAAAACAATCTTCTGAAGCTAACCAACGATATGAGGCGAGGACCCGAGAAATCACACCATGACAGTCAAAAAAGAATTTGGGTCATCTAAATTTAAAATTTATGGACAATTCCATTTGTACATAAATGAATGGCAACGGAGGTTGACAACCTCTCACATGCATGCGAGCCTCATGTGATTAAAAAATTCCGGAAAAAAAAGTGGGCCTCCCCTATTATGAGTGTTCGTTCATCCACAATGTCATTTATTTCGGTACATGTAGCATGGTTGAAAATTTATACCATCAATCAATGGAGTTTGGGAGGGAGGGGAACATGTGGGGTGAAACCATTTCAACGGAGGACTATATTGAAAATTTTACAAAAAGTTTAAGAAATGCTGTAATTTAAGGAAGTAGTTGAAGGGCCTAATTGAGGTTTGGCAAGTAATTGAGTGGTCTAAAGTATAAATAACATCAAAAGAAATGAGAAAAAGCAAAGAATTAGGGAAGGGGATCTGAAAAAGCAAAGTATCAAACTGAAAACTCGAAAGGGAGCGATTCTTAACTGATATAACTGTATAACATGTCTCTAAGGCATTCATTAACTCCATTTTCCACTGCTTTCAAGACTCCAGAGTGCACGCGAATTAACCTTCCGACTCAACTTCGGCCGGCGAGTATTACTCGGCGACGACTAGGTGCCCGCCATATTCACAAACTCAGTGCTTCCTCTACAATTCGCTGCTCAGCCATGGCCATTGATGAGGGCCCCACCTCTTCTTATCTTCAAGTCCCTCACTCTTTCACTCTATTTTTTATGCAGAATTCTTCTGGGTTTTTTTTTCGGTTGATAGACCAATGTTTTATTTTATTCAGTTTCCATTGATTTGGTCTATACTAAATTTATAATTTTGAAATCGGAATAAGATGAAAAGAACTATATATGTGGGAGTTTTCAATTATATGTGTCAATTATTATTATTATTATTTTCATTTTAACAGTAAATATGAAAAAGTTACTAGTTGTAATTGAATATAATAAATTAGGAGTGTGTAATAAACAAAAGGGACATGTCAAACGCCCTCCATTTTTGGGAATTTGCACTCCAGAAAGCACAGTTAGCATGCTAAGTTTTTATCTTTTTAATTAAATGTTTGGAAATTTCGGTATGAGAACTAGTAGACCTTGTGTTCTGGCTCCCTATGCTGTTTTGAAGAAAACAAAATGTGTTGTCATTAGCTGTTTTTAAGGCTATATGTCCTTTTATTGAGTTATTTCATTGAATTCTACGCAGACAGTGCTACTATAGTACCTAAACGATTAAACAGTTGCAGGATAGCTTGTTGTACTCTCAAGCTTTTTGGGTTAGTAAATCAATTATTGCTTGGAATGTCGATGTTGGAGATGGTTCATGTTATTTGTGCGGCAGTAAAAATGCGGCTTTATCTGTTGCAAACAATCAAATTCAAGGTTTTTTAATTTTACTTTTGCCTTCTTATAAGTGTCATTTTTCTTTAATTTGGGAACACTGATCCTCTATCTAGTGGCGCAGTTGTAATCGAAGTTTAAAACTCTTATGCAAACAGGCAGTGAAGTGAAAATTAAGCTTGAAGCAAGCACTAATAGGCTTCCAGAACATGTAAGATACTTATGTTACATGAACAGTAACTCTGTTTCATATTACTGCCTCACAGCTTAAGTTCATTTCATCAAAAAAGGAAACAGAATTAATTGGTTCCCTTGATAACGGATTTTTATGGCTATTTATGGTGTTAGGTAATTGAAAAATTTCCTCATGTTCAAGATTATAAAGTTTTCAAAGTTCCACCTGCTCTGGATGTCAAAAATTTACTGAAATACCAACTAGCTGTTGCTATTTTCACCTGTAAGTGCAGTACGCCTGTTTCCTATTTAAGGTGCAGCATCGGTAATATGTATCTGGAATCAGTTTGAGCATTTTCAAGCAGTGTATCTTTCTATCTGAATAGGATGTGTGTTATTTGCTATATAGTGAACAACTATCCTACTTAAAATTCGTAGCACGTGTTCTTATGATAATTTGTCAAGTTAAATAAAAATTGTAATTAAATTCTTTGGTCATGGCTATGACTTCTCTAACTTAGACAAAAGAAAAAGGAAAGGAAAGGAAAAAAAGAACGACTTTGATGAAAGGAGTGAAGTGGCTTTATATATTTTCTGTAGTTCAATCAATGCTTTTCTCTCGCTTTTCTACTTATATTTAAACTAGCTACTTTCCTCACTAATTCGTATGTTTACACGTATGTAGCTGATGGAAAATGCACCAGTGTTACTGGTTTGCAGTTACCAGGTGTCCTTGATGAACTATTCTCCTATGAAGGTCCCCTTGGTTCAATTTTTACAAATGACGTTGTTGCACTTTATCTTTGGGCACCTACTGCACAAGTAAATTCATTATACTTTTAATTATTGTTTCCTTACTCCTTCCAATATTCTGTGGGCTTCTCACTGAATATCATGGCCAAATTCTTTGTAATATGGTAAAAACAGGAGGTACGTGCATTTATTTATAGGGATCCAGCAGGTGGGCATCCTTTAGAAGTTGTCCAGCTTGAGGAATTCAATGGTGTCTGGAGTGCTAAAGGGCCAAGGACTTGGGAAGGCTGTTACTATGTCTATGAAGTCTCCGTCTACCACCCTAGCACCTTGCGTGTAGAAAAATGTATTGCAAATGATCCATATGCAAGAGGGTATGTTAATTATATAGTTACTCTAACAAGTTACTGGATGAACTCGATGCACCCAAAAGCTTGCCATTATTGAAGATATAATTTTAAACAAAAATATTTTTCTCATCTTTAACAGCTTAAAACTTTTTGGATGTGGTGGCTCGAGATATTAATAGAGCAGAAAAATGCCCTGAGTTCAAGTCTAAACGCTAGTCATTTATGAAAATTGTGCACACGTCCTTTTGTTGGGAAAATGAATTTGGCCTGCACATGAAGTGATGTGTGGAAAATGTAATTTAAATAATTAATTTGCCTCCTCTCTAACATCGTAAGCTTTTAGGTGAGGTGGTTCAGCATCCATATTTGTTGTTTTGCAGGCTCTCAGCTGACGGTAGGCGAACCCTGTTAGTTGATCTAGATTCTGGAACATTGAAACCTGAACGATGGGATAATTTGGCAGACGAAAAACCCAATCTTCTTTCTTTTTCCGACATCAGCATCTATGAGTTGCATGTCAGAGATTTCAGGTAAATAATGAATCAATTTAAGTTTTGTGAAATAATTTCAGTTACTCTTTGAAGTAAGTAAAAATGTATAGACTAGTGTCTTTCATGATTGTATGAGTTGTTCTTGTGGAAGAGTTCTTGGAATATAAATGAAATCTTAGCTTGCAATTTGATAGTCAGCAAGTGTTTAGCAATATAACTGTACACCTGTCATTTTCTCCTGCAAGGTGTTTCCTAACCAGTTTCTTGGGAATGTTTTGCAACCCGTTTGTCATCATAGATTTGAAAGTTTGACATTTCAATGTAACACCGTGTTCTATTTGGTGAAGATAATATTTAAATGATAAACATTTGGCTAATGTAACAATTTAAGCTTTTCGATCTAGTGATTCAACATGGTATAGGAGCAAACAAAGGTCCTGGGTTCAAGTTTCACCGTCACCCATTTAAATGAATTGTGTATGTTAGGCTTTTATGGGGTAAAAATGATAATATTTAAAATGAAAAACATTTGACCTGATTTAATACCTTAAGCTTATAGGTCAAATGGTTCAACACTATTAAGCAATTTGCACGTGATGTTGCGTTGATGTCATTTGCTTTTATGTTACAGTGCCAGTGACACTACTATTCCTTCTGATGTTCGTGGCGGTTATCTTGCCTTCACTTTCCTGGTAATCTTTAGACCAGTCTCTTGCGAACTTTATTATCATTTCTATTAGTTTCCCATATTTTTTTGGCTATAATTTTTCTAACTTGTCTTATTTATCCATTAACCAACACTCTATCTAACATCTGATATTAGCAGTTGTTCTCATTGGTTCTAGTTGCATTTATTTGTAAAAAGAACCTGTACCTAGGGAAAGGGAAAGAAAAAATGGAAGTGTGACTGTCCACGCAGACTGCCTAAGAAAATGATAAATCTAACTTGAGAAGGATTCATTTTTTAAGTACACAAAATTGTGCAAATAGACATATCAAAACTGCTCGTGTTCTATTCCTGAAAGAGTTCACTTTTTTCTTGAAGGACTCAGCAGGTATGCTTCATCTTAAAAGATTATCCAGTGCTGGTATAACGCATGTCCATCTTCTGCCAACCTTTCAGTTTGCTGGTGTTGACGACGAGAAGGATAAATGGAAAGATGCTGGTATGACTTAAAAATCCTTTTGGCATCTAGTTTTTCTGTTATTTATTCTTTTTGTATCTACAACTGAGATGTTAAGACATATAAGAGTGAAGTTAACAGATTTCTGGATTTATTTCACCTCCTCCTGGCATGCCATTTAACGGATAATGTCTTTTGCATGAGATCTCAGGATTCCAGAAAAAACTTTTCTGCTTTGGTAACCATGATCAATTGAAGTATTTGCGAGCAATTAAAGAGCAGATGGAACTGTGCATCATAAAAATTTAGACATTATTGCATAAAATTTCAGTTGTGGATTGGATTTAATGTAAGTTGGGACCCCAAACGTTTCTGAGTAGATATTTGTTTCAGTAAAAGTGGTTGATAGAGTTTTTTAATATAAATTTTCTATATATGAATTGCACCTAGAATATTGTACAGTCACCCTCTCCCTTCTTTTCATTAATATGTTTATTTGTTCTTTTTAATATTGATATAGTTTTTTAATATAAATTTTCTATATATGAATTGCACCTAGAATATTGTACAGTCACCCTCTCCCTTCTTTTCCTTAACATGTTTATTTGTTCTTTTTAATATTTATTTTTGGTTAGTGATCTCTATACTGCAGTGACACAAGATTAACACAAATGTTTTACCATTTCTTTGTGAACCTTTTCATTTTTGGGCATTCCTCTGAAGGATATAAAACCTTTTAACAGATTTTAAGATGCTTGAATCATTGCCACCAGACTCTGACGAGCAACAGTCTCACATCACAGCCATTCAAAACGAGGATGGATATAACTGGGGGTGGGATACTGTACTCCTTATTGTCTAAATAAAATAATTTATTTTATATATATATATATTTCTCCTCTGTTCTAATTTGTCTGACACCCTTTTGGTGGGGTGGTTCTTTTCCAATTGTACCTGAAAAGCTATAATCCTGTTCTCTGGGGAGTCCCCAAAGGAAGCTATGCAAGTAACCCAAATGGTTCATGCCGCATAATTGAGTTTCGCAAGATGGTCCAGGTATACACTTATGGCTTGTTTGGTAGGATGGACTGTACACAATTGGACAACATTAAGGAAGAAGTTTAAATCTTGTTCATTATACTATCTAGTCCATTTCAAATACTGCGTACCAAAAATTATATGTTTCCTATCAGTTCAAAGATTATGCATCTGATTGCAGGCACTAAACTCCATAGGCCTTCGTGTTGTGCTTGATGTTGTTTACAATCATTTGCACGCAAGTGGTCCCTATGATGAGAACTCTGTCCTAGACAAGGTCACGTATCCAATATTTTTGTTAAAAAGATTTATGCTTCATTTTAAATTGTGACACAAACTTAATTGCAGATCGTTCCAGGTTACTACCTAAGAAGGAATGCTAATGGTTTTATTGAGCACAGTACATGCACAAACAATACAGCCAGTGAACATTTCATGGTTGAACGGTTGATTATTGATGATCTTTTGTGCTGGGCTACCCATTTCAAGGTAACGATTTCCAACATACATGTTTTCTGTTCATATCGGACAAAGCCAGACTGGGTCCAACTTCTATTTCTGATAAATTGTCAGAGCCTAAATCATGTCTTTAAATTGATTTAAGTGGAAGTTATCAAGTAATAGATAGTCAAATACTTATAAATCACTCAAATAATCCCACTCCACAAAGGCGGGAATTAGTTTTGTGAACCCTAATTAAAATGTTGTAACTCTAACATGCTAATTTATCGTATCCTAAATAACCAGTTAAAATGCCTAATCCAAGCTACAAAGTATTAGCCTTGCAAGTGCTTATAAATAACTTTAACTCTCAACTATCCAATGTGCTGGAGGTTGTCTAGCCGGTAATACATGACCAGCCATAAATATTTTTCTACCATTTATACTGGTTCTCTTTTTTCTTTTTTCTTTCCACATTTGTTTGTTTGTTCCTCTCTTCTACCTTTTCGGCACCCTCTCTCCTTTATGACCACTTATTTGAGGCTACTATAATTCATATAATTAGTATATTGAGTTATAAAATTCCAAACTTAAGACATAGGATAGAACAACTTAGAAGGGGAGTTGCATATGTTGTATGGATAAATTATTAAACCTCGGGAAGTTCAATGTGACTATGAAGATGAATGTCCAAACATTAATTTTGACTGTCTCAAAAAAAATAAAAATACCAGATTTAGATATCTTGAGCGCTAAAGAACAGTTTTTGTAAGGATTGAACTGTTTAACGATTAAAGCACGCAATAACTGTGATGAAACGTATTGGATTACTTTCAATTTAGTTGATTGACTAGATTAAGTCAGTGGAAGCATGCTCAAAAGTAAAATAAAATAATAAAATCTAAACACCAAATTTATGTAGTAAACTTCTAAACTTGGGGAAACATCCACATTCCTCAACATGACCCACTGTCAAAATTAAACTGATGCCACAGGAATGGAGTCTTGACCATTGTCCAGACTTTGGCACTACTCAAACAAGTCATGCAACCACGTCTTTGAATAAAAGACCGTGCCTCTGTCTTCCACCAACACGTTGATCAACTTCATCTGGTTTGCTGAAGCACCAATTGTAGCGAAAGACTATCAAAATTTCAAGTCATGCACTTGAATCTTTGAAACTTCGATAATCTCTGACTACAATTGATTGTCACATATTTCTTTTACGATACATGGATGCTCATTTACCACTCTCTAGCAAAGGCTATTCGATGTCTAGATAACAAAAGCTGAAATCAAGTATATTAAAACTCCAACCCTGAATGCCTGTCTCTATGTTCTTCCTCTTTGACAAAATCTGAACCTTCTTGTTTCAAGAGATCTCCTTTGTGGTCTAACCCATCGAGACAATCTTCTCCTCAAAAGCACGTTATGCCTGACCCCATTTTAAATGTCATGATTGCACACGCCCAACACAGTTTATAAGCATTGACTTTTTTACATGGTTCTTTACTATGATCTATATCAATCATTTGTTTGTCTTGCAGGTTGATGGATTTCGATTTGACCTTATGGGTCATATAATGAAACGCACCATGGTATGTAGCTAATGTCATCCCATCTCTGAAAGAATATTGTTTGTTATCCAATTGAAACCAAGATTATGATAATGATTTTCAGTCTTAATTATTCTTTCTTATTGATCCCTAAAGAAAATCAAGTTTCCAGACAGTACCGTTTTGATCCTAAACAAATTAACTCTTGAATTTCGTTTTTGGCGGGCAGCCTTGTGTTGCTAGCCCGGCCAATTTTTTTTTTTGAATAAATACGATCATTTTTTGCAGTTTTACAAGTCAATACATATCTCCACCTAAACAAATTAACCTTATTTATCTCTTTTTGCGGCTGCTCGCCTAGCCAATTTTTTCCCCAAAAGAGGAGAAAGCATATCCTCGGCCCTGGTAGATATTAGCATTTTTTTGGATTGGGCTCTAATTTTTTTATTTTTTTCCTTTATATGGTTCTTTGTGAGTATAGAGAGACATGAGAGTGCAGATTATCGCGTTTTGGTTGCTCAAGTGATGAGCTCAAGTTTAGACTATTTTGTGGGATTTCTTCCACCTGCAGCATCTGAAGTTTTGGCCGGTGTTTTGGCGTTAGAGCTTTTGTTGGAACACGAATTATGTGTTCAACTAAAATTTTCCGACAGATAGAGCTCATTGTGTGTGTCGGCACACTTTGTGAATTTCTTTTGGAAATTCTTTTTGAGAAGTATGAGTTCTCGTAGTATCTATGGAGTGTTCTTGGAGTGACTTTGGAATAGTTTTTTGTTGTTTCTGTATTATTTGTTGTTCTTAGTCTCTCGTCGTCACTA